ACAGAGAAGGGCCTGGGGCAGACAGAAGCCCCTGCGGGAGGATGCCGTTGTTGTGGTGTAAGTCTGAGCTCACCCCAAACTCTCCAGTGTGGCTGTGGCTGAAATCAGAGGTGGGCCACGCATGTGATTAGGGCCACGGGGCTTCTGCTGCATCCCCTCAGGCCACTGTGGCCTCAGGCTGAAAAGCCCAGCTCACCATCAGAGGAGAAGGGAGGCAGGCTCTGCTGCACACACACTGAGCACCAGCAGGGAGCTTTCCAGGCAGTGATCTGCGGAGGCCTCTGATGGAGAAGGGAGAAAAGAGGCAGGTGGGAGGGGAAAGGGGAACACTTCCCAGGCCATTCAGCCTCCTGGACTGACATTGGATTGCACTGGAAAGAGCTCCCCTCCTCCTTCCCTCCCCACCCCCCACCCCCCAGGAGTTGCTGGCCCTGGCCTCGTCAGACACCCCTCTGCTCACTCTTCCCAGGAGAAGGTGCACATTAATGTGGCATGTGGCCTGTGGGCTGTGGGCTGTGGGCTGTGGGCAGGGAAGAGGCTGGGGCTGCCTGTCTGCCTTGTCCTGACTCTGGCCATGGCTGGAGTCAGCATGTCTTTCCCCGTGAGGGTGGCAGAGCATCTTTGACATTCCGGGGCCCATTGTTGGGGCAAACCTATTCTGGGCCTCAGTTTGTTCAGTTGTAAAATGGGCACAAGGTCAGAATAGCTTCTGACCTGTTAGCACTGATGAGGTTGAGCTTACTCACACTGGCAGAGCCCATCAAGGACACCCCTACCCCAGGGCTGTATTGGTGACATCTCATTGGCAACTTAAATGGTGTGGTGGGAGTATGGACAACAGGTAAGTGGGAAAAGGCTACAGAACAGGACTCTTTTATTTGGAGAGCCAGCGTTAAGCATTTGCCAACACACACTGCGCTCCAGGAACTCCATCCATTCTGCAAGGACCTGGCAGCATGTGATCCCCATTCCTCCCTGGTCGCCCCTAAGGGAGGAAATGGGCAAACACCCCCCCTTTGTGTTCAAAGGCAGAGGTGAGGTGCAGTGAGTCATTGGGGGGGGGGGGCAGAAAATGGACTGAAGGAAGCAGACACCCACTCCTATACTTTTTCAATCATTACCGCTGCATCTTGAGTCCGGCACCTCTGCTCCCTCAGGCACCTGCAGCTGAGCCTTGGTTTTACATTTGCAAACAGGAATAATAACACCCTCAAGAGTTAGTTAGCCTGACAATTTGTTGGGGGCTCAGCCTAAGACTGGGATAACGTAGGAAGCATTTTGTGAATGGTGACGTGCCTTCACCAGTGCAAGGTGACAAGTATTTAAAAAATACGTTTTTAAATGACAGTTTACATTGCATCTGATTTTGCATTAGTTTCAGGTGTACAGCCTGGTGATAGGTTATTTTGACTGACTTTGAGAGCAGCGCTGTGCCCATCAGAAGGCGGCCCTGGGCGAAATCTCACCGGGCGGAGCCCCTCAGACACCCTGGTGGATTTGTTTCTTCTCTCTTCACTTTACATGTATGATTCCCAAGCACTTAGCTGCCTGGTCCAGTCATGGGCTGAAGAGTGCCCTCTGTTTCCTGCTCCTTCCCCCATCCCTCCAGCCGCACCCATCAGGGGCCTGCCTGCCACCGAATTGCCATGCCAGCAATTCTCTCAGCCGCTTAAAAGGCCATCAAGACAGCATCAAACTGCCTGTACATGCTCAACCCAAATGCTTATGGAGCAGAGCCCAGAGTGGGATGCTAAATTGGATTCTATCAAATCAACATCAGCTGCGTGCAAGCCGCTGATAATGAAAGGCTCTTAATGATGGCGTTCATCGTTCATCGCTGCAAGATGACTAAGAGCTGAGAAGCATGGCTGCTGGCTCAGGCTGGGTGGGAAGGAGGCGCTGGGCACAGCCCCTGGGTGGATGCTGGCTGGAGGGAGGGAGGAAGGAAGGAGGAGGCAAAGAGGGAGTGTCCTCCATTCCTAGAACAGGGATGGTTGTAGGAAAGGCATTCATAGTCTCCTTGTTATTTTACACAAGAAAACCCAGAGACACATTGAGATCAGGGAGGTAGGTCCAGCCCAGATGTGGATACAAATTCTAATTCTGATCTGGAAGCGACGTTCCCATCATTCCCTGCCCCCCCCCACACACACACCCCTGAATGGTGATTACTTACGGAAAGGAAGGGCCCCAAGTAGGCATGGCTCACTGGTTGAATGTCAACCTATGAACCAGGAGGTCACAGTTCAATTGCCGGTCAGGGCACATGCCTGGGTTGTGGCTCGATCCCAAGTGGGGGGGGGGCGCGGTGTGCAGGAGACTGGGTCAATTATTCTCTCCCATTACTGATGTTTTTTTCTCTCCTTTCCTCTCTGAAATCAATAAAAATATATTTAAAAAATAATACTTTAGAAAGGAGGGGGATAGCAGAGTCTGCTAGGCATTTGGGCCTGTTGTTTTCTATGCCCTCCTCTACCTTTCCTCCAGGCACATGAGCTGCTCCCCTCTCCTTCTGCGCCTGTGTACTAACTAGTTCCTGATTGTTGCTGGAACAAATTGCTGCACACACAGTGACTTAAGTGGCACAAATGCATTATCTTATGCTTCTTAAGTCACACGCCTGGCATGGGTCTCACTGGGCTGCGTTCCTTTCTGGAGGCTCTGGGGGGATCTTCTTGCCTTTTCCAGCTGCTTGCTTGACTCCTGGCCCCCTTCCTCCATTTCAAAGCCAACATCAGCTCATCTCTCTGACCCTTATTCTATCTAGAGCAGTGGTTCTCAACCTTGGCTGCACATTAGAATCACCTGGGAATCTTTTTAAAATCCTGATTTCTGGGCCTCATCCTCCGGAAATTCTGTTTCTTTGTTACTAATGTTGTAGCCCCACCCCATAACAAAGAAACAGAATTTCCGGAGGATGAGGCCCAGAAATCAGGATTTTAAAAAGATTCCCAGGTGATTCTAATGTGCAGCCAAGGTTGAGAACCACTTACTAGAGCCACATGCTGCTCTGACCACAGCCAGAGAGAGCTCTCCACTTCTACAGACTTGACTGGTTAGCTCAGGTCCACCTGGGTAATCTAGAGTATTCTCTCCACCTCAAGGCCTTTAACTTGAATCACACCTGCAAAGTCCCTTTTGCCATGTAAAGTACCACATTCACAGGTTCTGGTGGTGAGCAAGTAGACATTTTTGGCGGGTGGGTGGTGGCATCATTTGCATACCATAGCATATGTAAATTGAAGACTTGTTCCTCAAATTCCTTTCATTCTGCAACGAGAAGTCAATGCCGTGGAACCTGTGTCTGCGAGCATCACTGCCAAGGTCTGTTCCAGCTGGTATGGGTGGGGAGAGAGGCCTATCGGAGCAGGGCTGGCTTGAATCTCTTTCCTACAAGTAGTAATGCCGATGATAGTGCTGAACATTTGTATAGCATTTTATTGTTTTCAATGTGCTCTCAAAGACATAGTGAGAGTGGGTAGTATGCAGCTGGCTGGACAAATGAGAATTTGATCCATTTTGCAGAGGGAAAAACTGGGGCTCAAGACGGGCCAGGGATTTCCCCAGGGTGACTGATGGCGTCATGACCAGGATCCAGCACTTTCCATCTGTAGTCCAGGGCTCTGCTCAGTCATACAGAGATGGTGAGAACCGCTCGGCTTGGATAAGAGCTCTGCAGGGCATGGAACAGCAGGAAGCAGGGGACAGTGTCAGCCTCAAACTCCCATCGCAGTTCTCTGCTTTCTGGGCTTCTGGCTTGCTGGCCCGAGACAGGGTTTGTTTGCTCCCTTGTAGAGAAGGTTTATGTAGCACCAGTCACACTCCCTCACTGGGTCCTGCATGGTGTGATCGCCCACATGCTTTTACAGGCCATTGGTGAGCCTTTCTGCAGGCTTGTATTGTGACCAGCCTGGGAACTGAATCTGGGGTTTCAGGCTCAGCTTTCCTCTGACCAGCTGACTCTTGACCAGTGGCTCCAAGGACAGCCTCCCACACATGGCAGAGTGGATCTTTGTGAGTAGGCATAGCCTTGGCCCTGAGAATCTTCTGGGTTAGATGGCACTGACCTAGATGCATGCTGGTGAGCATGGAGGTAATGTGTCCACAGCACAGAAAATCATTGCTCCAGGCATCTCCTCCAAGGGGGACCCAGCTCTAACTTTGGTGTTACATCTGCACTTAGAGTTTGCAGGTATTTCTGAGTACATGACATGCTCATGTGTTGGGCACTCTGTGTATATGCGTCCTGCCTCTAACTAGCTTGTACCCCAGATTCACCCTCTGTCCCCACTTCCACTTCTGCCTGGAGGCTGCAGCTGCTCATAACTAACTGTCCCAAGGAGCCATGGGGACGAGTGGGCTCTGGAGTGTGGCAGCAGTGATCTTGTGCAGTTTACTTGTTTGAGTCCTAATGTTCTCACCTGTAAATTTGGATAGTGACAATCACAGGTATTTACTGATTATTTATTACTAGAGGCCCGG